CCCCTTGTCCATTCAACTGTTTTGGCCGCGGGTTCACCAAGTTCACGACCTTTGTATTGCTTTTAATGAGGAGGCACCCGGCCGGCCTGCGTCCTGCAGACCGATTCCGCACGTTGCTCCCTCGCTCTGTCTCTGTCGCACACCTACCGGGCGACCCGTGGGTGCGAGAGAGACAGCGAGAGCGCCGTTCGGAACGAGCCTGCTGCCCACGCGGCGGGGCACGGCGGGGCCGGCGGCCGGCGTCGCGTTGGGATGCGGCGGAGTTATCTGATTGGCTGGCCGGCCGGCTGGCTGGCGGGGGACAGAGTGCAGTCTCCGCACGGGAACGGCAAGGAGCGGAGCAGCGGAACGGGGTGTTGCGAACAAGACGGATTGGTCGGTGCGTTTTATGCTGTAGTCTGATTCCGGATGGTGGTGGGTTCGACGCTCCGTCTCTCTCGCGCGCCCCGGGAGCCATTGGGAGACGGAGGGTTTCGTTCGGAGGCAGCCTGGTGGCGGTACGGGCGGTACGGCAGAGCTTTCACGGGCCGTGCGCCGCGTCGCGACACTGTCGAAAAGGCGGTCGGGTCGGGTCGACGGGCGCTCGCTGTGTTTTACACGGCTGAGTGCTCGTGGAGCCCTCCCCGTCCCCGGCGTCCCCGTCGTCCCCGTCGTCACGCAGACTGGAGCCACGGCGCCCGAGCGGCCTGAGCGGCCTGAGCCCTGGACGGAGCCTGGTTCATGTTGAGGACCAGAGGGCCCCAGGGGGCATCAAGCGTGGCCGAGGAAAGATCTGAGAAAACTTGGCTGTTTTCGATCGGCGTGGCAGCGACATTTTCAGTGTGGGGCGGGCAAATTGCAGTGCGCGATGGAAAGCGTCTGCCTGCCGCCGGCCGGCCGGACTCGGGCCGAGAGGATGTGGGTGCTCTGCTCGTGTGCGGTGGGTCGACCGGGTCGACCCCGGCCCGGCCGGCCCGGTGCATCCGACTCGGAGAACTCGGAGCACGAGAAGAGAGATTCGGCCTTGGAGGCGGCCCGGGCCGCCCCGCCCGCCAGCCCGCCACCGCCCCGACGGCCAGGGCCCCGGACGGACCATTTTCCCATGCTACACGTCCCGCCGGCCGCACCGTCCCGCCGTAAGCGCGTGGGCAGAGCCGGCCAGAGTCTGAGCCATTGGCCCCGGCGTCGCGGCGCCCCGTCTGCCTGCCTGTCTGCCCGTCGGCCCGTCTGTCTTGTCAGAGTGCACTCTGCAGGCGTCGGTCTGGGACGGTCGTTGTGCGTCAGGGACCGAGAAACTCTTTACGTACAGTACCTTCCACGGAAGGCGGGCGGCGGTACGCGGTGCCGCATGGGGGTCGTGATCTTCCTCGGCGTTTTAGCGTCGGCTTTTTCGAGTGTGGCGCGCCACGCGGCTCTACGCGGCGCTTACGCTACGCGGGGAAAGCCCGCGCGGTGGAGTCACTTTGGGTGACTGTTTGTCGGCATTTGCGTTGCAGGCCGTCCGTGTGTGTGTGAATGATGCAAATGAGGGGCCGGCCGGGACAGCGCACCCGGGACCCACAGTGGACACGCTTGCGCCGCTTGCGAAACTAGTCTTTGAAGCGGCCCGGCGGGGTGGTTTTGGACGCGGACGCCACTCCGCACAGAAGACCGATGGAGGCGCGGCCAAAACTCTAGACGCGTTTTGAGCTCCAGAGTCGCTAAATGGGACTCGAATCGAGCGTGTGACCCCACCAATAGATTCGTCGGTCGAAGAGCAATCCGTTGGTGGGGTTACACGTTCGGTTCGAGTCCCATTTAGCGGCTCTGGAGCCCACTGCGGCGCGGCGCTCTAGCAGAATGAATTCGCTGTCGCGGTTCAGCGCGAAACCGCGATCGGCCGAGCTCGCCAAGCTGCATCGGCGTGGGCTGGGGCCGCCCCCACGGCTTGGCTTGGCTTGGGATGCGCGCCACGCTCTGCTTTTGTCTTCCCCCTTTGGACTGCAGACTGATTCCCAGAGTCGTCCTCGTTGCTCTCTCGCACCTACACAGTGTGTGAGAGGGAGACAGCGCGACGAAAAGGACCCTCGGGGATTTGGCCGCGCGGCCACACTGTTTATGGTCAAGTTTGTTGTTACGCCCACGCCGCGGACCCCGCGGACCGTGCGCGAGCGTGTGTGTACACTGTACAGTACCGCGCGCTTTCTGTTGTCATTACTTTTTGCGAGGCTCGCCGCGACACTGTGTGCTGGGCTTATCGGCGGTCGGCCGGCGCCTCGCGCCCTTTTGGGCTTTCAATCTGGGCACAGTGTGTCACTGCGGGGTACTGTGCGCAGTGGGCCAGAGCGCGTTTCTGAGCTCCAGAGTCGCTTAACAGGACTCGAACCGAACGTGTGACCCCACCAATGGGTTGCTCTCTGAACGAGGAATCCATTGGCGGGGTCACACGTTCGGCTCGAGTCTTGTGTAGGGACTCTGAAGCTCGAAATGCGTCGAGTTTTGGCCGCCTCCACGAGAGGTCCCGAAGCTTATCCATATTTCTCGGCTCTCGGTGCGGAGGTTGGGCGGAGAGAGCATCTTGTTGAAGTTTGGGAGGAGCTCGTCACAGTTTGCAAGTCGTTTGTGACGGTGACACCGCCCTGCTGCTGTGTTTGTTTCAGTGTGTGTGTGTGTGTGTGGCATCGATCCCCGTCGACTCGGGGGCGAGCTCCACCAGGCTAGACAGGTGAAGGGCTGATGAAGTCGACTCGACGTGTGGGTGGCGCAGCGTCGCGCGGGCCCTCTGGCGGGGGTGCGAGAGAGACAGGGCGACGGAGCGCTGTGCGAAATGAGCCCGCTGCGCTGCCTAATTGGTTCGCGGACTCGCCGGTGCGGTCCGGGCGGCGCGGTGCGGCGGTTGCCTCAAGGTCGGGCTTATGGGAGATGGCGGAGTTGAATGCCCAGACGGGGCTCGGTGTTGCGGGACGGGGCGGGGCGGGGCGCAAGGAGCGCGGCGGAAGGTCAAGCGGGGCGCGCCCCTGGCTGTGCACCGTCGTGCTGCATTGCCGGTACCACACCGAGTGCCCGTCGGTCAGCCGTCTGACTCGGTCGGGCGGCCGCCGATGGCGTCGGCAAGTGTAACCCGGCCGCGCGGCGCGCACCGCGCCGAGGGCCTCCTTGGCGTGGGAGCGCGCCGTCGCCGCTTTCCTCGGGCGCGCGCTGTGCGGCGCTGTGCGAAGATGCACGGGAACGTTCCTCCGACCCCGCACTGCCGAACGGAACAGAACGAACATGCTCGTTAGAGACGCGTGTGCCAAAGACCGAAGACGGGGGGCGGTATGAAACGAGGCGAGGCAGGCGGTGGCGGCACGGCGGCGGCACTGCGGCGCGAGGATCGGGAGGGATTTGTGCAGAGTGCGGCCGTCTATCTCTCTCGCATCCACGCGGGACGTCCCAATCCCGGGAGTGCGACAGAGAGCGGCTTCCCGCGGAATGAGTCTGGCGCGCGGACCGGCGACGCCGAGCGAAGAGCGAAGCCCGAGCCTTGGCGTCGGACTCCGACTCGGAGTCGGGCAGAGTACATTGTCCCTGGTTGTGGACAGTGAACTAGTGATGTAGCTGCCAAGGTCAGCCCCTCTCTCTCCCTCTCACTCCCGGCCCCGCGCCCTGCTCCCCGGGCCGCCGGGCCGCGCGGCGCTGCGCGGGGGCCCGGCCCGTCTGGTGCCGAGGTGGGGACTCGGAGGGGGCTGGGTGGGGGCACCCCCTCACGCCTTACCCCTCACGGCCCCGCGCAGTGTGGTAGGGGCCGCGCTGTGCCGCGTCGTCGCGCCCGCGGTGTGCTTGCTGCCTGCCTGGCCGCCGAGCCGGCTCCTTGGCCGTCGCGCCGCAGTCCTTTGGCTTGGCACGGCACGGCGCGGCACGGCGGAAGCGAAGGGGGAAGGTTGGCGGAGCAAAGGAAACCGGCTTGTTTGGGCTTTGGGCTTTTGAGCGCGCCGCTCGGCTATTGCGCAACGCCGCGCCCGCGCCACCGTGCAGGCCGTGGACCTGGGAGGACGGCGGACGAAAAGTGTCCCCGAGGTCGCCGCCGCCGAGGGCACCTGAAGGGTGACAGATGCCCGGCGGCCCGGCGGGCGTGGCTGCCGTGCGATTGCGATGCCTCGGCGATGCCGTGTGAGTAGGTGGAAATGTCCGCCCCCCGCTCGGGTCCGCTCCGGGCGCTGTCTGTCTGCCTGCCGAGAGTCTTGCCCACGATAAGGTTTATCGGGCGCTCAGTGACGCACGCGGGACGCTACGCCACGGCCACGCCACTGCCGCGCGCTGCGCCGGCCGCACGCGTCGCCGTGGCCGTGTTGATGTTTGACTGCGGCATGCGGCCCGGTCTCGGCACTCCTTTGGCGCCCTGCCCACTGCGGCCTCCTTGCGGCCCCCTCGCGGCCCCGCTCTAGGGCAGGGTTGGCCGTCGCAGCGGTCGCAGCCCACGGCCGCCCCCGGCGCCCCAGCCCCTTCGGGCGCGGTGGTTGAACTCGGCCGTGACAACCCCCAGGGGGTCTGCCTGCGTGTCTGGGCGTCTCGCAGACGGCCGGCCGGCATGCGTCACCCCGACGGGGCCACCTCATGGCGACTCCTTGCGCGCTGTGTGCCGACTGCCGACCGGTGCGCGGTCCGCACCCAGGCCATGCCCGTCGTGGTGCCGAGCAAGGCGACGCAGGGCAGGCCGCAGCCGCCGCAGCCGCCGCAGGTCGAACGCGATGCATTAGTTAGTGAGCAGACGACGCGCAGCCCGCGTCGTCGCGCTGTCGCTCTCGCACTGGCGGGGCATGCCGCCCGGACCGCAGGGTGCGACCGAGACGGAGCGAGAGACTTGTACGTGCCGCCGCGCAGGGCTACGCAGGGCTGCCCTGCCATTTTCATCAGACAACTCAATTTGCCAGTGGAATCGACTGCGGTCAGTCAGTCATTGGCGAACGCCGCTTCGTCTGCGTCGGCCTCCGTGCTGGCGCCGTGTGTCCCCCTGTGCCCATCGAGTGTTTGAAACTGAATGTCCCGTTTTTCTGGTGTTGCAGATCGCGCCGTCCGCCAAGAAACTGTGGGGCGTCGAGGAGCAAAAAGATGACACGAAAGGAATTCTGAACCTGAACGACCACCAGATGTGGCGGGACCCCACGTGGAGTACCACAGCCGGTAAGTGTCTGCATGCGTGTGTGAGTGTGTGCGTGTGTGTGCACGTGGCGGCAGGTGCTAATGGGTGACGCGGAGGGCGCGGTGAGCACCTTGCCGCCGTCCGAGGCGAAGCACGCCGCCGGCGGTGCTCTATATTTTGTTTTGTTTCGTTCGAACGTTTTCTGGGAACGCTGTGTGTGCGAGTTCCCTGGCGGGATAGGAATACCACTCCACGGCGTGGGGCAGGTGTGTGACAGGAAGCACGGGGGGAGGGGAAAGGGTTACCAGTGTCGCCCCGACTGTGAGAGTGTGAGGGTCGGGTGCCGCGCAGAGGCCCCGCAGCGGGCCCGCCAGGCTCGCCCACTAGACTGAAGGACCGCACCGCCATGCTCGTGGGGTCCTCGGTGTGCGCTGGCGCACTGACGCGGAGGATACCGGGATGGGTACCAAACTCGTCGGCCAGCCCTCTCCTCGGTCGGTGGGGCTGCGCGGCGAGCTCTTAGGGCCGCCCCGCCTCGACTCGAGGGAAGGTACTTGATTATGGCGGCCACGCCCCGCCACGCCCCAAAGTAAAGGGCGGGGCCGAAGGGCGGGCGGGCGTGGCGCTGCGTGAGCCCCGCGAACTAGCGCGGTAGCACGGCAAAGGCACGCACAGCGTTTGTCTCAGCAAAAAAGAAAAATGAAATAAATTCTATTTTTGGGAGTATTTATTTTTTTGGCGGCTCTGCGTGCTGTTGATAACGCGTTGCGGGGTGCGGGACAGGGCGGTTGGCGGTTCTTTGTCCGGCGGGCCCTGCCTTTCCGCCCCGGACGGCCACCGCGGCCCGGTCGGGTTGGTCAAGGTTTTGTAATGCAGTTAGCGATGTGTTACGTTAGAGGGGGGACCTCGCCTCCTGCCTGGGCTCAGGGCGGCGCGGGGAGCGAGGGACCCCCTCCTCCTCCTCCTCCTTTCCCTCTCTCTCTCGCACCGGCCCTCGCCGAGCCGCGCCAAACGCATTGAAGAGTCGCCGGCCCGGCCGGTGAAGCTTCGGCCCCACGCCACGCCGCGGCACCGCGGCGCGGTTCGCCGGCCGGCGCGAACCAGAGTGTGTCTGTGTGAGTGTGTGTGTGTGAGAGCGCGTTTGCCGGCTAATGCCTGGGGTTTAGCCGCGGCTGCGTCGCGACGTCCGGGCCGCGGAGCCGCGCAGCCGCGCGATAAGACGAAGACGGACGCCGAAACGGAACGGCGCGACCAGAGCGCCGCGCGCCGGGCCCCTCCCTGACGTCTGTCCTGTCGCTGTCGCGGCGCTACACGCTTCCCCACTCGGGGGCTGACTGGGAGGAGGAGGCCTCGTTGTTGTGGCCGGGCAGCACGCGGCAGCACGGCAGAGGCCGCCCCTCGTGGGGCCGGGCCATCCCTCTCGAGGACGCGGGGATCGAGTTGCCGTGTCGGCGGGGAAGGGGTAGGAAGGGGGAATCTATCAGCGAAATGGTGGATATCGTTACGGTACGTGGATCGCGTGGGGGCGGGGCGGGGCGGGGCAGGGCAGGGCAGGTCTCGGGGGGAGATTGGCTTCGTTGTCCTTGTGGGTAGGCATTTTTCATAGCCCTGCCCTGGCCGCCTCCCTCGAGGGCCCCGCCGCGGTGTAACACCGGCTCGATAGGCCCCGCCCCGCCCGCCCCGCCGGCCGTAGTAAGCCGATTGAATTAGTCATTGGCGGCGCGGCGGCGCGACGACGCGGCCCTCGAGGCGGCCGGCCCTTCATTGATCGGCGTCGTCGGCGTGCTCCTCGGCGGCGCTAATCGAGTGATGGCGGCTTCGCGCTTCGCGCCGCGCGGGTCGCCGTCGAGGAAAAGGCGCGGAACGCTTATCGCGACGGTCGCCGGCCCGCGTGCACCACGCTAGCTGGCGCGCCGCCGCCTCGGCGTCCACGGCAAGGAGGTCCACAGCCTCGCGGGGGATGGATGGACTACTCGGCGGTCCGGGGGCGGCTCGGCGGGGACCTCGGTGGTGGGGCGTTCGTTTTGGGCCAACGCTCCTACCGGAATGCATGTCGGGAGCTAAAGTGTGGGAATGGGTGGAACGAGCGGGAGCCGCGGGATCCACACACACTCACACACACGCCGCGCGAGTCAGTATCGCGGGGCAAGGCGAGTCCATTTAGAATGTGGCTGGGCGCGGCGGGGCGCGCGGCGAGCAGATCCTTCAGTTGGCAGGAGCGTGGCGAGTGCGGCGGCGGGATATTTTATTTTTTTCGCCTTGCCGCGTCTTCTTGTTTTTTCCGCCGTGCCTTTTCGTGCTTCGCCGCGGCTTCATCGGCCGGTGGCTGCCGCCTTGAATTCTGTAATCGCAACGAGTGTTTTTCTTTTGGCTCGGCTGCGCGCTCCGCGCCGTCTCCGCCGTGATGCGTGCTCTCTGCTCCTTTACGGGGCGTTATTGTAAATCTCGGCCTTTACGAGCGGGAGGGCGGCGACGTCGCACAGTGGATTTGCCAGAAGACGGGCGGAGGCGGTCAAAATTCCGGACGCGTTTTGAGCCCCAGAGAGTCGCTAAATGCGAGGCTAAATGGGACTAGAACCGAACGAACCCGCCCCATTGGTGGGGTCACACGTTCGGTTCGAGATTGGCGACTCTGGAGCTCAAAACGCGTCTCGAGTTTTGGCCGCCTCCAACGGCAAATCCACTGTGCGTCGGCGTGCTCCGCCGCGTTGCGTGGCGGAGGGCGGAATGCGCCTGGTCACGGCCGAGCAGTGTATCGCCGCGGACGCGCCGAAAAGCTGAAGCACGGCCCGGTTGATTGACCCTCTGCAAGCCTCTCTGCCTTTCTAGCGTGCTTTCTGCCTCGACGGCGGCGTCGCGTGTTGGACGTCAAGCCCGCCCGCGCGCGTGTGTGTGAGTGTGTGTGGGCGTCGCCGTGCCGGTCTGTACCGCGCGTTGTGTGCCCGGCATGTGGATGTACTTGAACTTGACTGCGTGAGAGATCGGCCGGCGCCGGCGGACGTCGTAGCGTGCGTGTGTGATTGTGTGTGTGTGCGCGTTGCTACGCGGGCCGCCGCCACTGCCAAGCCCGCTGCCGCGGCGTCTGCTTCGCGGCGTCGGCCTCGCGGTGCCGCGACCGTCTTTTCACAACAACGGGAACAGTTTTGGCGAACTTTTCGAAGTCAATTGGTTCAATGAGATGTTGCCATTTTTATAAATTAGTGAATGTTTCATCTTTTACAATCTTTCGAGGTGATGTCTGGAGTATACCTGGTCGTGGACACTCGTGCGTGGAGTGAATCGGCCGCTTCTCCGCGGTGCTTGGCGCTTAGTGCTTCTCTCCTGGCGGCCGAGGCGGCCTTGGCAGCCCGCTCGTCGGCCGGTCGCATTGCTCATCCCAGTTTGTCGCCGTGTGCCTCTCCTCTCCCGCCGCTCCGCTGCCGCCTGGCTTTTGCCTTTCGACTTCTCGAGTCGGCGGCCCAGCCGACCCAGCTGACTGATTCCGTGCGCCGTCTCTCTCGCGCGCCGCCCGGGACGCCCCGTGGGTGCGACGGGGACGGAGCGACGCGGCCCGACTAGACCGCGGGACGGTGGCTAATGGATTTCTCACGACGGGCTGACGGCCTGACGGTGACTGCCGGAGCAGAGGCCTGGGTGGAGGGCGGAGGGAGGCCTCGGTGGAGGGCGGAGGCCGTGAGGCCGTGCCGCCCGTGTCTTCTGCCAAAGTACTACACGCTTGTACGACGCCTCATCCCCTTCCCCGCGCGCGGAGCGGGCCTTCCGGACTTGACGTGACGAAACTCCAGAATCACCGGCAAACTTTTGGGGGCGACTTGGTTTTTAAAAATCGTGATGTTGACCTTGTTTTTGGCGCGCTGCCGTTTGCGGGGTGACGGGAACGCCCCCTGTGGGTGGTGTGGACGGTCTTGGTCTTGTTGGCGATGCCGACGGTGGCACGGTGGCACGGCGTCGTCGGGGAGGTGAACAACCTCCGGCGCGAATCTCCTCGTTGCCCTGGCCTGCACTGTAGGGCCGGCCAGGGCTGGCGGCTGGGCCGGCCAGTGGTCGGATGGCCGGGAGTCGCGAGTGTCTGTTTGGCTCTGCATGTGTGTGTGTCCCACCTGTCGTCGTTGCCGGTGGCAGGCGGTGGCAGGCAGTGGCAGGTGGCGGCCGTGGCGGGGCGTTGCGAGTCTTGTCGCGTGCCCAACCGGTTGGCCTGCCACCAAATGGTGTGGCTGCGCGCGGGGCCCGGCGTGGCGCGGCTCGTGAGTGTGTGTGTGTGCGTTGTTGTGTGCGCCAGTGTGTACACACTGTCTGGCGGCGTGTCGTGTCGTCTTGGACCGCCGCGCCCCGCCCCGCTGCCCCGCCGTTCAAATATTGGGGTCAATGCGGGTAATTGCGTCGGGGACCGTCTGGCCTGACAACTACTCTCCGTTTAGTTTACCTCCGCTTGGGTCGTTTTCGTCGGACGACGCGCGTGCACCTTTGCTTGTCGTCGTGTCAGTGCACTCGGCTACCTCCCGGCAGACGACCCCTCTCTCTCAGACACGGCGGCGCCTCGCACCTTCCCTGAACGCCCCGCGAGTGTGAGGGAGAACAACACGCCGCGGGGAATCGCTGCGCTGCTACGCGGCGCTGCGGTGCTAATTGCAAAGTGGCTTGGCGACGTCGCAGAGCCAGAGCCCCGCGTGGCCCCGCGTCACCGGGTGTTGGTGCGCGCGGCCCCTGGCGTCCCTGTCGCCGTGGTTCCAGTGCCGCGGGCTGCAGTCGGCGGACCGGCACTGGACCGCCACACGGACGCTCTCTGGAGGGCGCCTCGTTTTGAGAGCGACTTGGAAACCCGAGCGGCTGGAAGGAATTGGCTTGGCGGCGCTGGGCGGCGCTGGGCGGCGCGGCCGTTGCCCCCGTGCGAGGTCCGCGCTGCGAATGGCCGCGAACTGCGAGCTTTGGGCCCGGCCGGTGGTGACCGGTGGCGGCCACGGCCCCTGCCCGCCCTCGGCCCGCGTCGCGTCGTCAGGGTCAGCCGTGGCGGCCGTGGCGGCCGTGGCGGGGTGAAAGTGAG